CAAGTGCCTTACTAGTAGTAACAATGTTCGCTATTAGTAACAAGTGCATCGCTACTAGTAACAAGTGCCTTACTAGTAGTAACAAGTGCATCGATTTAATTTCTCACACTAGACTCCGGAGTGGGTCTAAAGCACGCCTCTTGGAGCTTTTGCGATGATGTTTGGAACGAATCCTGCACCACCTAGAACCGCAACAAACACGTTGGAGTCTTCTTTACCTCCGGTGCCGAAGTTCTTCTTCGACTGAAAACCTGTTAATCTGTGCATCTTCGCTTTGGCCCTTCTGTCTTTACCATTTGATTAGAAACGGGTGACGTGTCTTTCTCTGATTCCTCGTTTTGGGCTGTTCTTGATAGTTCGTTTTCCAAATAGCCATCCTCAAGGGACTTCTCCCCGTCACCATCCATGTCGGCAAAGCTATGACCAATGTACATACCTCAGCAAAGAACAGTTGAAAAAGTTGTCATTGAAAAGGCTCGTTTGCTCGTTTCTTTTTTCGAACAGTTTTCACGAGACCAACAGCAATGGTCCGTTGGAATGACAGAAGAAACACACAACTTGCCGAGGGAGACGCCAGTGATTCTGTCGAGATGAGGCATATCTAAGTCGGCCAGTTTCTTGGCTATGGCCTGGCAAAAAAAAAAAAACAATAAGTCTAAGTGTCTGATTTTGCGCAGAATTTATACGAAGAAAGAAAGAACAGAAGGTAAGGAAGAGGTTCCTAGTAGCGATGCCAGGAGCTCCTAGTAGCGTCCTTATGGAAGAGGCCTGGACTTTTGTTCCAACGTCCTCACAATATCGCACCTCCTCCTCAGTCCCAGCAGGCTTTTGACGGGCCTGAGTGACTTTTAATGTTTCGAGCTTCCCCAACCGAAGTCTCACTCGTTTTTTAAACCTTTTTTAGACGTTTTAAAACTGATGTTATCTTAATTAGACCCTCTCTGCTTTTTTCTTTGGACCTTGAAAGGCAGACCGTTCAAACTCCAAAGCCGCCTGTGCTGCTTCGTTGGCTGCATTCACCATTGAAGCCTGCCGTTGAGGCCATCGCTCTTAGTTTGGACGCTACGAACGGGGCGCTCCTGGCCTTACTACTAGAAGCAAGGACGCTAGTAGGTTGGAGAGGCCATTGCTATGTGTAACTCAAAAGAATTGTTCGTATCACTTCAAGTCACAGCGGAAAGAAATTGGATGACAAACGTCTGTGAATTCAACTACCTCAGGAACTGAAAACCTGTCTTCCATTTTTTGGTGTTGTTTTGTCACTATTATGTTCTTCGTTATTTCTTTGTCCGTTTTTTTGGAAATTGATTCCCTTTCTTTCGTTATACAATTAGTTGACCTTTTCTGCTGTTCTTTCTCTATCCCCTTTTCTGTAGGCCGTTCGTCCAGTTCATTCTGTATGTCTTTTTCGTAAGTGCTTTTCCCTTTCTTCCGTTGTATGTTCTTTTCTTTTGACCTTTCTGCTGTTCTTTCGTTATCCCCTTTCTTCCTTTAGACCTTTCTGTTTTTTGGTTGCTTTCCCTCTACTTTTTACAATGTTTGGTGTGCTTTTGTTATGCAATTTCTTTTTTGACCTGTTTGCTTGTCTTTCTTCTGTAAACCCTTCTTCTGTGTGGCTTTATCCCTTTGATTGTTGGAAGTGTCTTCCCGTTCTTTCGTTATAACTTGTTGGACCTTTCTGATGTTTTTTTCTTTACCCCTTTTGTCGACCTTTCTTCATGTCCTTTATCCCTTGTTCCTTCAGACCGTCCTTCTTCTTTCTCTATTCTTTTCGTCCTTGCTCCTAGTAGCGATGCCAGGAGCCCCTAGAAGCGTCCTTGCTCCTAGTAGCGATGCCAGGAGCCCCTAGAAGCGTCCTTGCTCTTAGTAGCGATGCCAGGAGCCCCTAGTAGCTTCTTGTAAGTTATTCCCGTTCTTTCGTTGTACCTTTCTTCTTTTCACCCTTTGCCCCTTAGACCTTTCATCCTTCTTGTTGGTTTATCCCTTTTTCTTTAGACCCTTCTTCCTTTTCTCTATTTATACTTTTTTTAGACCTTTCTGCTGTTCTGTTTTTCTCTCTCTCTCTCTATCTTTGCAACTTTCTTAGTTTTGATTGTTATTCCGTTTCTACATTATGTCTTCCGTTTTGATCTTCCCTTTCTTTTTTGGGCCTTCTCTTTAGAACGTTCTTCATTTTCTTTATTTGTCCGTAGACACTTCTGCCGTTCTTTCTGCATGCCTTTTTCTTTGGCATAAAAGACGTGTCTTTCTCGAAACCAGCCTCTTACTTACTTACTCAGCCTCCTACTCGAACTTGCTCGTTGCTTTTCCCAGACATCGCCTTTTCCCCTGGCCACGCTTCAATGCTGAAATCGAGGCATGGGCCCAAAGTTCGCGACCTGACCGACACGTCGATTTCACAAAGAAGCTCAAGAACTGTGACCAACCTACTAGCCAATGGCCTTCAACCTAGTGTCCTTGCTCCTAGTAGCGATGCCAGGAGCCCCTAGTAGCGTCTTTCCTCCTACTAGCCAATGGCCTTCAACCTACTAGCGATGGCCTTGACTTCTTGACACTCCTCTTTCTTTGAATCTGGGTTCGAAACTTCTCCACCGACCAAGCACTGCTACAAAAAGGCTGCGTCCTCGGTGTGGTTCTTTCGAAAGACGCAGATAGAATCGGGATGAATTGGGGAGGGCCGCAGAAACAAGTAGAAATTAGAAGAAACGAAAGAAAGGTCTGGCTCTCTTTCAAAGAGTTAGACATGTAACATGTATTTTGAAGGACCCAGGTAGTTCTGGAGACCTAAGGTCAGAGTTGGGGAAAGACCTACAAAAGACTTAAACGAACCTGTTTAAGGTAGTTTAAGACCTAATCTTTAAGACCTAAAATGTGTCCTAGAATTAACAATCTTTCATAGGGAAGGAGCTGCTTCCGAATGATCTTTTAACAACTTTTTCAGGAGGCTGCTGCCTCTTGTAAAGTTGAAAGCGCTCTGGTGCGCAAAGTGCAAGGCCGAAGTGAAAAGCAACAAATAGTGAAGAAAGACATCGCTACTAGGAACAAGTGCATCGCTTCTAGTAACAAGTGCCTTACTAGTAGTAACAAGGACGCTACTGGGGGCTCCTGGCATCGCTACTAGGAACAAGGAAGCTACTAGTGACAAAGGGCATCGCTACTAGGAGCGATCGGACGCTCAACTGCTTCGCTTCGCCAGTTTCAGGCGAGTTCAGATAGGAATAGAAGAAGCACGAAAGACACGCCTTCGTGGGGAAGCTTTGGGAAGCTAGCAAGCGTTCTTGTTTCAAGGAACGAGCAAGAGAAGGAAATCTCCAAATGAATAATGTTGCTAGTAGTAGCTTCTTGTTACTAGTACCAAGTGCATTGCTACTAGTAAAAAGTGCATATGAACTTTGTTACTAGTAGCGATGCATCATGTTAACGGTTCAAGGAAGCGCTCCCACTGCTCTCTCTGAGTCTTTCTACGTTCCAGCCTGGTAGTTTCCTGGATCTTATTTGTCAACTATTCTTTAGCTACTAGCGGCCTACGCCCTGCTCCCAAAAAAAGAAAAAAATTGAAGCACAAGAAAAAAGAAAGATTGTGAGGAGATTCACTTCCTTGCTTCAAAAAGGACAAACAAGCAGTATAAAAAAGATATAGGAAGAAAGGTCTAAAAAAAACCTAAAAGGAATTGCCTTCAACCTACTAGCGATGGCCTCCAACACAAGAGAAATAAAGGCAGAGCGCAACTGTCTCATCCAAAAAATTGAGTCGCCCGGAAGCACCAGAGAACAGTTATTGCAAGTACCAATATAAAAAGAAACCCTGTGAAACTGTTGAGAACAAATAGTTCAAAAAAGTCTTAAAAGTCTTGAATACATAGATTTTGGTTCAAGAGAGTCCACGGCCATTTCATAAAACAACAAGTTCATTGAGCGGGTGAAGAGAAACTGTTCAAAGCCGGGAAGCCTGGTCTGCCGAGTTAGGGATGGCAAACCTGCACCCATAGCATCACATCGACCATCAAGTGAAGCCCAACATAACACGTCTGACATGATTCAATCCAAGAAGGGATTTTAAAAATATTGGAAGAAATACTGTCATTCAACTAGTAACTAGGAACAAGAAGCTACTAGGAGCAAAGGGCATCGCTACTAGGAGTGATCGGACGCTACGAATGGGGCTCCTGGCCTTACTACTAGTAACAAATGGAAGAAATGCTGTCATTTTCACACAAATGATTTTCCTACTAGGAACAAGAAGCTACTAGGAACAAGTGCATCGCTTCTAGTAACAAGTGCCTTACTAGTAGTAACAAGGACGCTACTAGGAACAAGAAGCTACAAATGATTTTCATCACACAAAAATGGGCCAGGCCAGGTGAAGAGGCCGTCAACGGAGGCAGCACGACGCCCGAGCGAGACTTCTTCAACCTCGAGTTCAGTCGAAGTTAGATTTGGTCCACGATCCGATCTTCAAACACTGAACTTGTCAAACCTTCCAAGTTCCCAAGACACCCCACCTTATTGTTCCAATTCGAATTAAACTCTAGTTAAATTTACTTCTAATACTAATGTTTGTTTCCATTAGCTTCTTGTTCCTAGTAGTAAGGCCAGGAACCCCTAGTAGCGTCCTTGCTCCTAGTAGCGATGCCGGGAGCCCCTAGTAGTGTCCTTGTTCCTACGGAACTTGTCAAACCTTCGAGGTTACCAAAACACCCCAGTCCCCAAGTCACCTTCCCAACAAATACTGTGGTATTCCGCAACCTCACCTCTGCCCCTCTGTCAATCAAGTCACGGCAGTGGAAGACCTCGCAAGCTTCTTACTGAAAGCTCACCAGCACCTGCAGTGAGCAAAATTCACAAGGAAAAATGTGGTGCATCTGAGGCAAATGCTGCTTGAGCGGTCCATGACGTCAACTGAAGTGCGTTTAGAAATCACAGAGTTGCTGTTGTTTGGTGTGTTGAATTCTGTGTGTTTCCGAGCGAACCAGTTTTGCAAAGATAATAGAAACATCGTGAAAATAGTTTTGTTCATGTGGTTACAAAATGCGACAGACAAAAACCCTTCGAAGTCTTGAACCATGCCAATCACACGCAGTTTCATCACAAGGAAAATCCAACGAAGCACCACGGTTTCAACACATCTTACAACCGCAAAGCGTTCCCAGCTGCGTCTTGTGAATGTGAGTGCATGACCGACTTTGTCCTAATGAGCATCCTTTTCAATGCCACGCACTACGCCACTTTGCTGTAAATTAAGTATTGCAATTGTTGTTGTATGACTGTATGACAATGTCTGCTGTGTCAAAACTTTTGTGCATATTTCCATCTGCTCAAATGCAAGAAAATGTGTATCAGCTTTGAGATTCCAAACCAAAGCAGTTCAATGCATGTCCAGGATAAAACCTAGATGGGTGGCATGAACGTGGTTTCTCATCCGTTTGCATTCTTTGTTGGTTTCAAACATGTGTGTTTCAATAAAAAATCATGAGCATGGTGAACGGTGTATAATTTCCGAAACCG